CAACAATGAGTATACACTCACACTGAGGGGACGACCATTTGAATTCATTTTTTTTGGGGGGGTGGGGAGAATTTTGAAAATGAAAATTATTGCCTGGTAAGAGCTGAAAATACTTAACCTTGCATACGAAAGGATGAACATAGATATTTTGCAACACAAAATGCAGGAACCAATAGTGTACAAAAGCGCAAATATTTTTTTTTCGCGATAAATGAATAATTAAGCACGAGTAGCAACAGATTGAAGCAGAACTCAAGGAGCTTGACATGACCTTGGGAGAAGCCGAAACAAAGGATAAAGACAGAATTGGATAGCGAAATCTTGTGGCGACCTTCTGCAATAACTGTAAATGAATAGTCAATCCGAAACAAATCTTCCGGACCCCTCTCCAGAATATCAAATGGTCGTTCCCTAGTATAACATTGACAACCACAATTTCAACTACTTCCCCTTTTCTAAGTATTCAAGCGCGTTATACACAGGCACTTGTCTCTGAAATTTTGTTTTTCCTATATACCTTAATGTGTAACATAAGGTATATAGGGAACAACATTTTTCAGAGACAAGTGCCTGTGTTGATACACATGAACACAATGGCGTTTTTTAACACGATCGCTAACAAAAAGTGTTAACTAGTCCATTTTCATTACGAACATCTCCTGAATGACAAGTTTTTGGGGACATGTTCTTCTATTACAGGGTTGCAACGATTTACGCAAAATGAAACAATAAAAAAAATCCTATACATTTGAATCTATTTTGAAGAAGTCCTTAATTCAGTCAACTAGCCCCGGTCATATAAAAATCAATAACATTGAAATTTGAACGAGACTGAATCATTCATTTGAAACGTTGACATATGACTTTATTCCTTCAACAGACATAAGAATGATTTCGTTTTAAGAAAATACGCAACACTTTGACTAAAATAGATTTGGCTAGTTTTATTTTCATAAAATTTTGAAAAAATATTTACTCTGACCTGATAATTTACAGGAATGATTTCATTAGCTATATAGCAGTTTGACAAACATTAATTTTAATCATTGGGAAGCTTGATATCTCTTTACTTATAGAAAGTGATTAAAACGTGCAGCTTGTTTTTAAATAGTTAACTCCATTATGTGTTCTGAACCTCCTTAAACATTTAGCAGAAGTCCTTTAAAACACTCACTAATGTTCATTTGCAAAAGAATGAAGTATATACAATGTATATTAATGTTTTTCATTTCATTTTATATGTTCCAATCAATTTTGAAAATTTCTTTGCTACTTTATTGGTCGTTTCTGTGCTTAGAAATGGTTCCAAATATCTTTTCTGTCAGCAGATTCGGATTCAAGTCAATAGTTCCGTTTTATATGCAGAAATAAGGAATGATATATAAACCAGCAACATATCTTTAACAACAAACAACCACAACGTATAATTTTGAATGATAAAAATGGACCAAAAGCCAACCAAAAGTTTCAAATAACAAAGCATCACTTAAATTATAAGCATAAAAATTGACTCCATAACTTGAAAAATTAGTTCAACATTCGTAATTCATGATTTGACAACGCAAGCCGCAATTTCCGAAAATAAACAATCCATTTCGATCGATTCTTCCAGTAATAATGAATTTGAAAAGAAAGTGAAGATCTTTTTTCATAAGATATTCAAGTTTTCCCCATTACAACACATCATTATTTGTATTGCTGTATATTTAAATGTATGATACCGATGCACGTGCGCATGACATTGTATTTTTAATTTAATATACCTTCAATGATATGTTCGCACGAAATCAAAAGTGCTGATGGTAAATTACTTAAAACTCTAACAAAAATAAAAACCAAGCGGATCCATTTTGGTAGCAAAAAATGTGCGAGGTCAACTTTGCCTGAGGGAGTTCAGTATAATAACGAAATTATTTTTGTCACATTCTTTCTGGACAGCGAGCGTGTTGATTAGAATATAGACCAACCTTCGACGTCGAAAACTATTTGCTTCCATTATAAGATCGTTGATCGTAATAAAGTCCTGTTACATTTGGCATTCAAGGTAATGTTTTCGTTTATGATAAATAAAGATCATCAATTTAATAGACATCAGTCGCATGCAAAAACTCTTTATTCATTAACTTCATTTAAATGCAAAAAGTGAATGAGGTCCAGAAAAGGAACGAACACCCAATTTAGAATTTTACTCAATTTTGTTTACACACTAGCTATGTTAAGTAATGATTGATTCATTGATACATTATTAATGTCCAGCATCAAGTATTACGATCATGCTCAAATCTAGATCCGGTTTGATTATTTTCTAAAAGAGTGTTATTAAAAGTGGAAGAACTAGGAGACTGGAGTAATATTGGAAAAGAGCCTATCAGATGTATATATATACACAAACCAAAGTTCCCTTATCAAATCGGATGATACAAAGTACGTAGAACTATTAAAATATGTTTAATTCTCGGTATGGTATTTTAACCTCTGACATTTTGCTTTTTATATTGTTGTTATTTGAATTTGTTGCTGGTGTAAGTACATCAAAACCTAATTTGTAAGGACTTCTGGTAGCTGTAATTTTATCAAGTAAATAAACTGGTTGATAGAAGCTTGCTTAATTCCAGCTTCCATTCTTATAAAAGATATTCAAGACGAAAAGAATTTAAAAGAAAAATAAATTATTGATTCTTTGGATGTGAATAGAAGTTTCATATTTGACGGTCTGAGTAGGCAAGAAAATTTATATAAGGTACCGACCATTCATTTTTTGTGGGGGAATGTTTTATTTTTTAATTTTTTTATTCTATTTTTCCTGAAAACAAATATTTTTTTAGAAGGGAAGTGAAAATAATAGTTTGTTTCATTTGAATATTAGAGAGAAAATAAATTAAAAACTGATTTTCCAAAAACAAATTCATGTTCCTGTAATGTATGTTATTGAAAAAATATAGTTTGTTTTTATTTAAGTCTAACAAAAATTTATCATAAGTGAAAACCAACACCCCAACACAAGAAAAATTACACATTTAGCAGGTTAAGACTCTATATGTGTGGACCAAGTAAGAATAATCAACGAAAGGTTGTTGCACTGATTCTTTAACGTCCTGTCCTGAACTGTCTAATGGTTCAGACTTAACATTGACGCTTATGGACCTTGGCTGTTTTAAGCTACTCAGTTTAATTTTTCTATGTTTATTTATGTTTACAATAAATTCAATACCCTTTCCGGAAAAGAAAAAAGATGTAGTTAAAACGCATCTACAAATGATGTGCAATTATTTATCAAGGATTTAAAACCAGAGACGAAAATAGTATAAATAGTGTGACGGACGGACAGCAGCAACGACGAAGTACCCAACATTTTGCAGACAGAACTGGTATGACACATTAATTGTTGTTTGATTGATTGATTGTAAAAGAGAGGAAGAAGATAACAGAAGGACACTCAAACTCATAAGACAAAGACAAACTGACAATGCCATGGCAAAAAAGACCAAAAGACAAAAAAAAGTCTACAAAACACAACATAGAAAACGAAAGACAGAGCAACACGAACATAACGAAAAACCGGGGGTGATCGCAGGTGCTCCGGAAGGATGAGAGGATATTGTTTCCAATGTGGTACCCGTCGTGTTACTCCAATAAAATACATTGATCAGTTATATCAAGTAATTATGTATCACGCAATAGCGGATTGGTAATTGACTCTTATTTTACCTAAGACATCACCAAATTCGGAAACCATCGGTAATGTAAATGTCAATATTATGCAATTTCTGAGCAACAACAAAAAAAACCAAACTTTGTCCGATTCTGTAATAGCACTAGCGACACCATACCAGTTCGTTTGCATACATACATTCACCCAGGTACTTCTCAAAACTAATAAAAAAGAGGGAAATACGAAACATGAAATTGAAAAAGTTTCTTAAAAGCCAACTATGACAGCAGAATTATGAAACAATTATAATTCCTGTACTGTATAGCTTCAATAAACAAGTTTCTTTGTTATCATATCTTGTTTACGCTGCGTGATACTCGAGAATCGAGAACCAGCGGTCCTAAACCAGGGGATGACGCCTAATACTCGGAATATTTCTACATATAACTTCTAAGGTGAAGAAACTTCATATTACGAATCGGTAAAAATGTTGGAAAGCTGATTTTCAAAGGGTCGTTCTAAACTGGGACATACCATAACAGTGTTCCAGCGTTAAGTACAATTTTAAAAAAGTAAAAAAAGGAGGAAAAATAGAGTTTGTAAAGCATTCATCTTGATGCTTAAAACACAAGCAATTCTTGAAAGCAAACATTCCGTGTTTTAAACTTTTGAAAATAAGATTTGGCCTTATTTCATAATGTTTGTTTCTGTTTTTTTTTTTATATTTTCTTTAATCTACAAGGGTGGCTGATAGTAATGTTTAAATTAATTTAGGATGACCCAATCACAACATGACATCTTTATTAAAAATGTATGGTCGACCATTTTCAAGTTTCGAGTTTCACCCAAATTTTTTTAAATTGCTAATAAAAGAACGGAATTGTTTGGTAGCACTAGCATTCGGATATTCAATAATATGGTAGATGAATTAAACAGTTATATTATAACTATGAATTGAATATGAATTAATAGTAATGTTGTAACTGATTAACACAACTTTTGTTGACAATAAGATGTGTTTGTTTTGTTTTGTTTTTTCATTTTTTGTTCGTTGTTTTCGGTCCAAATTGTCATGTAACTCCCAAATATTGTTTCCAATTTTCATGTAACACATGTACCTAGTAAACCAAAACATGAACTTCCTCCCACCAAGTTGAAGCCTTTGTTCATTGAGGCCGGTTGTTCACACACCTATTATATATAACACTAAAAATACAAGGTTCGGGGTTCAATAGAGTTTGATGCCATCGTTTGACAATTGTCCTGTCAATGAATATGTCATATAACAAGCTTTGTTTTGACAATTTTGTTATAGTTTTAAATATCATAATTGCACTAACACGTGCAAACTAACTCAGTTCGAAAGTACAACTGTACAATAATAGCAATGCATTTTTCACGGAAATTCCGAAATCCAACGATAAATTGATGGACAGAGTGAAAAATTTAGAATAATTTGGGTATAGGATACACGATTCATACAAGGTAAGACTTCAGTGATCAACCAATCCTTAATGATTCCTGTTTAACCGATTTATACCGAGGAATTTTACAAAATATTTGAAAATGAAAATTGAGCACAAACATCTTATTTTCAAAACAAGGAAACATTAAATTATTTGCTACGAGAAATGGATTTTTTTTACACTTTCAGCTTTAAGATGCTATAATGTTGACAATTTAAAAAAAAAGTTATGTTCTATCAATTTTAGCATTTATCAGTTAATAGTGTTTTGAATTAATGTTTTTTTGTGGTTTTATCAGATTGTATTTTAATGATTAAATTCGGTAAACTTATAAAATACGTTCCTTGAAGTCATTTTAGCCTCAAATTTTAGGTAAACCCTGCGTAAACACTGCCAGGACTTTATCTTGCCGTTTTTAATTTTTTTTTTTAATTTGTATAAGGTGGTATTGAAGTGTTAAGTGTTGCATTTTTATTTATTCCTACATTTCCGGAAAAATATCATTATTAGTCTCCGTGTATCCGTCCATCAAGCGTGCTGGTGATTTTAAACACTCTTTTTCTGAGTTGAGGGATTGTCTCATTGACAATCATACCACATCTCCCTATTTCTATATAGTATTTTTTGTATCAAGTAAGAATCATAAGTTCAATTAAAATATAGACGCATTTTAAAATCAAGTTCTTATATGTAAATTCGGACAAAAAGATAAATTTATTCTATTTCTTTACTTTATTAATAATATAGTATTATTTGTTTTATGTTTTTCGATGTGAATAAATGAGCCGCATTTACATGTATATTTAAAAAGAATTTCAACAAAAAGTAGATACTTATTTATTGTTTTGATTTCTGTCCGAATTTGATGATATATCATCTGTAGTTATGTATTAAGCTGTATATCTATGATAAATCATTTCAGGTTCCTAGATTTTGAACCAGAAGTGTGACCTGTTCGTTACACCGTTATGCACATCTTTTTTTTTATTTTCAACTTATTTTGTTTTAGTGGGTTTTTTTTTCTAATTTTTGAGCTCTTTTTGGTCATTAAGCTCTCTGAATGTTTCTGTTCTTATATATACTTCCTTGGCTTTCAGACATTCTGCTTTGAGCGTTCTTGAAGAAGATAAATCCCCAAAAAGCGCTTTAAACTCATGAAATTTACAAAGTGTTGTTTTCATTTTTTTACGAAAAGTTATTTTTAAACATTTTGAGATTAGTTTTACCCAAAATAATCAACCAAAGACATTTGGGAACTATCATATGTAGTTAGGGACTACTGTAGATACTAGCAGAAGCCACCTAGCGTGTCTTCTATTTGGAATTTCTGTTTCTTCATATTTAACGTTGTACACCATCGGTATTTTTAATGGTGCATTACATTTACGAGCATTGCCATTACATTTGCGCGTGAAAATCATTACGTTTGCGTGCATCTTTTGGTTACATTTGCGCGCAATTTTTTTACAGGTACACACAGGTTAATTTCATTTATTTATCTTATTTATTTAACTATTTACAAGTAACCCCTTCCGTTAGTCTAAGTCCCCTGTTCACCAATGAGGAGGTATAATTGGTTTTTATTATGCACAAAGCACTAAATCCTGGAAATAAGGATAATGATGTTAAAACAGAGCAAATCTGAAGAGTACATATCGGTACTAGCTGAATATTTGAAGCCCAGTGCTTTAAGAGACTATTCTGTCAACTTCTTCATTCTGGTATTTTCGAAATAGTTCTTTCATATACTCTGTTTTCTCTATTTACTTCCAAGTACAACTGCTGGTGTATCAAGCCTTCTTAGTTTGGAAACAAAATGCTATTCACTCTGCAATATTTCCAATTCAGTTACATGTATGCCTGATAGAGCGAATACAGAATTTCTCATTTTTAGAAATCAATGTGAAAAATATCTAATTCAAAATGAAAAATATGTTCAAATTTAATAACTATCGACACAGTTATTACTAATTGTCTTTGTATTTATTTGTACCTATATTACCAGTAAAATTAATGCTCGCAGATGTTATAAAAAGCTGCGCGCAAACGTAAAATATTTTAATCCCTAAATGCGCGCAAATGTTATAAAAAGCTGCGTGTAAACGTAAAACATGTTTATCCCTAAATGCGCGCAAATGTAATGCGCCCATTTTAAAAATAGGTTGTACAATTTTGGATCAACAAATTTTCGTTGGTTTCTGTCCATCGTATTTGTTTTTCGTTTATTGTTTTGTTATAAATCAGTCCGTTTTTTTTGTTTCGTTTGAATTTCTGATATCTTGAGGTCAATAATTCACAAAATCTTTTTCTTAAAAGATACGATTTTCAAACAATTTAAACCATATCTGGAAAAATTTTTGATTTTTTTTTTTAATTAAAAGAGAGGAGTATGTCGAGTTACGTGAACAAGTTGCTTGAAAATGAATGAGATGGTCGTTTGACATTTCATAAGATTATATGACCATTAAATGGAGTTGTCAACCTCTTGTATTATATGTATCAGTATTTACCAATATAAATCTAACATTTTAACATGAATTATAATAAATATTTACACATATCATTTAACTTATAGGTACATTGCATACTTTAATGACTTATGAAATTAAATGTCCCTTTGGTATCTTTCGTCTCTCATTTTTAATTATGTTCATTTCGGAGAAAGGTCTGTATTGTAAGTGTAAAAAAAGTCTTTTTGTGGTGGTGCATAACACTACAGGGAGATAACTCTGTAAAGATCAGCTGCACGTTATAATCACGTTCTATTGTTAAGGAAATATTAAGCTTCTTAATGATCAAAATTAGTATTTGTCAAACTGCTATGTATCCAATGATTTTTTTCCAAAAAAAGTGTGTGGTTCGAGGTTTTTTTTAAATTCCATGTTATGTCAAATTTTCAAAGTAAATATTTTGTAAAAATTTTATGAAAATTGAACGAGCCAAATTAATTTTAGTCAAGGTGTTTTTACCACCTTAACATAAATTGCTCCCTTTATATATTTTCAAATATAATCTTATGATATATATACAAAGAATGATGTTACATGCATGCTATGATCTAGACTGAGAAAAAAATAATTTCAACTAGCTGCAGACAATTTTGGGATAAGGGACACTGTCAACTTGGTACATTCAAAATTATTAAACCATTGCCATGACGTCAGCCTATTTATTTACCGTGGTTTGAAGTTTTCTGTATATGTAAGAGGATGATTATCATGATGAAAAGGATTATCATTCTCTTACAAACTTAGAATATTGTAAAGTGCTCAAGGCTCAAATGATTTCTTGATCGGTTGTATTCAAGAATTAGTTTCATTGTTAGTGCAATGTTTATGAAAAATGCATGACTTCTTTTTTATGTATTTTATTTTAGAATAATTTTTAGTGATGTAAGGACTTTCTTATGATTTTGGAAAATATAATTCATTGTGTTTAGACACTTGATGACACAACAGTACAATAAAATAGTGGGAATTGTATAAGTTTCGTGATTGTGAATATAAATGTTATTCATGTAATGTTTTAGTGAGGTATTATCTTTTTGTTTATTTACAGTTCAAATCTATAAATTCAAAATTTGAGTTAAAGCTGAATTTTATTTCACAATATTTCAGTCCAGCTCTTTACATCAAATGCTACTTCATTATGCCAGGGAAATATTCGAATGAAATGCCTTTAAAAGTTTTAAATATATTCAAAAATTGAATGAGATTCTTTTTTTTTATCAGAATATTGGAAATTACTTTTTATACCAAACACGGATCCAGAAATCTGAGTTGTGTCAAGCATATTAGATAAATATTTATGTTCATATTTAATTTCAATTTTTTAAAACTTTTTTTGCATTGCTTTGGTAGAGTTTAATTTTTAGTAAATTGAACTATTTTAAAATATTCTAATTTTTTATTCTAATTTTTTTGTATGTTTGAAAATTAAAGTTATATTAGTCAGTTTCAATCACAAATCCATTCAAGCTGATCACAGGGGTTTGTTACAATTTGACGGGTTTACTATCCATACGAACCCCGAAAAAAACACACGTGTTTTCGGGGTTCATATGGATAGTAAACCCGGCAAATTGTAACAAACCCCTGTGAGCTGATACATGTGCTTCGGGGCAGTTGTTACTCATTTATAGAAACTCTTTGTTTTGAACTGTAAATAGGCATAAACAATAGGATAATCCCTTACTAAGAACATGATTTACATTCATTCTTCACATTAAAGAAGCATCAAATCCTACAGGGGCCTCGGTGGTCGAGTGGTCTAAGTAGTTACTACTGTAATCACTAGCCAGTCAACACTGAGGTTGTGAGTTCGAACCCCGCTCGTGCGGGTGCACTCGACTCCAATCTTAACTGCCTAGGATTGTCAGTTTTCCTATCGAAGGTCGGTGGTTTTCTCCGGGCACTCCGGCTTCCTCCACCAATAAAAATTGGCCGCCACGAAATAGCCCAAAAGCGGTGCTTAAAAGTGGCGTTTAAACACCATAAACCAAAAATCAAAATCAAAATCAAATCCTACAATTTCATTGGTTGAGAGCACTATGCCATATTCTAATTTTCAATAATCAACGCTTCCTAAATCTTTGGCTGAAATTATATTCAATTGTTTCCTTTATGTGTCTAATTTCAATAAGTTTTAATTGGCTTATTTACTGATTTCTGTTCACTAATGGGATAAATTTATAAACATATCTTTAACTTTTGTAATTTTTAAATGTCTTCATTTGGAATCGAACCCCTCCTTGAAATCTGTTATGTGTGACTGACATCGACATATCGACGAAACCTTTCGGCTACCAAATGGGTTGCAATATAGGTGTCTATTTTATATATATATAAATGAACATATGATACACATCGGTACAACGGACGTACATGATTGTACCTTTATATATACATAATAGACAATCGTATAATATAAGTTGGTAGCCGCGAGGCTAAGATCAATGAAGAAGTAGAGACTTGTCTGTTTAGGTTCGACTCCCTGCTTTCTGTTTGCTGTCCCTATTCTTTAGTTTTTCCGTTTTTCGTATTTTGTATGTTATTGTTGATATTTTTGTAATAATAGCGGGATTTCTCGTTTATTTTTGGATTATAATTGGCTATTTATTAATGCATCGTTGAACATGATAACATGGTAAATTAAACTCATTTACAATACCTTCTTAACAAGAAAGTGCTTTAATTTTGAAAAGACATCAATATAATAGTTTAAGTTAGAGAAACGATGGATAAGCGTTGATTCATGGAAAAAACAACACTTTCGCCCTCCGGGCTCATGGTTTCTTTTTCAAGAATCAACGTTTATCCATTTTATCTATAATACGTATCTTAAATAAAATGTCTTTAAAGCAGATAGATTTGAGTATGTAGGAATGAAGAAGATTTTAGGTTATCTTTGTTAACTGACTGAACCATGAAATCTACCTTTTCAGAATGTACTTTATCCTACAAAAAATTGACGTATTCTTATTTTTTTTTTTTCTTGTGAAAGCCGTTGATACTGCCTTTTCAACCAAATTTACATGGCACATACCAAAAAGCGAACAATTAAAACTATAATGTGTAATTCAAATGTGAAATTATGTATAAACCAACAAAGTTTATCATTAATATACTTATTTTTAGTTTATTTTACAGAATGCACCGGGATGAGATGGCACGAGTACCTCTGCATAAATACAGGTAATTAGTGATACAATATAACCAAAAAGCTCGTCGGCAGTGTCGCATACTATGTTTATTAACTTTCACGCAATCGAATCTTTCAGTTAATGAGAATAGGACATCAGTGTTAAATAAACCTGACTGATAATATAATGGAAAAACGGCCTACCAAATAAGAGGGGATTTCCGTTTTCTTTGAGATTTTTCGTTGTAGGTCTTGTTCAAACAAATTTTTAAAGCTACATAAAAAATTAACGATGACCGTTTGGTATTTTATTAGATTATATGATCATATATATAATCATAATATAATCTATTTTTTGTCAGTTTTTATGTTCTTTCCTTTTTTGAATTTGCTTTGGAGTTCGGTTTTATTTGGTATACTTTTTAAATCTAAATTGTGAAATGTGAAATGGAAAAAATCGATTGACGAACACTATTGTCGATATTTTCTTTTACTGGTGTACAGTCTTTTGAGTTTTTGTTGCGTGAACCCCCTGAGGGGTTGCTTATATATTGGCGAGTTTTGGATGTGTCTATGGGCCACTCGATATCTCTCGACCGGAAGTCGGAATAAAATTCTCGGAACGTCTCGAAAGTTTTCGATCATTTATATAGCCTGGCATCCTGACCCAATCTAATACTTCGTCGATAACTATCAGCGCTGAACAGGACTGAATTACTGCGCATGTGCATGTTCTATAAACAAGGAATATATCGATCGGATCGTTAATTAACAGTTGATTCACGACGTTAATCAATAACGTTTGAATTATTTATGCTAAATTTTTCGAAATTTGCATTTCATATGAAATGAAAAATAATTTTCAATGAATTCGTGACAATATAAATATTTCCCGCCACGTGTCAAGAAATGACGCTATCCCACGATGCAACATTGTATCATCCAATTGAAGAAATCATGTCGTCGTAATGCGCCTGGCTCTACTGTCAAGCAGTGAGCCAGGATCCCAGGAACATTTATACAGGTAGTTATCTAGGTCTTTGATACGGTCCCTCTATGGCTAGCCTAGGCTACCGAGTGACATTACACCATCAAAGTAAATTGGAAAGTAAACAATAAGGCTAGGTTGCAGTCAATAAATCGTTTAAATATAAGAACCTTTTTGCCTTTTCACAAAACATATGTGTTTTTAATAATGTGAATTTGATGTGAAAGTTTCTACACAAGTATTATGACAACGCAATTATATTTGTTTTAAAACGACCCCTGTACACTGTGTGTATCTAGGTCAATTATAACGTGGTATTGTGCATTGTCATGATAACATGTAAACTACTTATGTCTGAAGATTTAACCACGTGTGTATTTTCATCATAGACTTAAAGGAGAGAACATTCTGGTTTAAATGTGTATATTAGATCGGAAAACAAGACCAGATTTTCTGCTTTGGTATTTCAAAACATTCATTTGTAAATGAAACATGCATAATAATTAATTCTGAATAAATCCTTGCATCATACAAAAAAAATGTTGATAAACAATAATAATTATATTTCTACGTTAATTATTTTCTACCGTTTTAGTAAGGTTTTATAAGTAATTGTTATTTATTTTTTTGTATTGTAATATATCTATAAAACGGAAAGTAAGATAAGTAAATTAAATATTTAAATTTAAACGGTCGTGAATAAAAATACTTGTGTGTTTTCAATTCACAAAGATTTTAAATCCTTGCAGCTCACAAAAAAACGTAATAATAATTTACAATAATCATAAAAAAATTTAATTATTAAAGTACTATCATAATGTTAATTTTTTTGTACTGTTTTAGTATGGATTTATAAGTCTTTGCTTATATTTTGTATAGAAATCTATTCATATAGTGGAATGGTAGAATTTAAAAATAGATTCATTTGATAAATAAAATGTCCGTCCGTAAATACTTGACGTTTGTGTTTATTGATACTATATGTATATATATTAAAAATTTTCGGAAAAAAATTACTAACAGGAACGTATGTTTATTGTAAAATTTCAATTCTACTTTTGTTTGTTTGTTTTAATAGTTTAACCTTATAACATCTACATATTTTGTACTATGGTACGATTTTGAAAATTGTATTCACTGTGTTACCCAACTATCCTACACGTCTTGATTCATTCACAATATAGATCACATTTCAAACGCACACTATCGGTTTGCGTTCTCAAAAATTCAAATAATACTAATTTCACTCGTGAATGCGCATTTTCGTTTTTCTCATCTGAATTTAGGACCCGGCTGTAAGAGATTGGCATGTGACTTTTATGCACGGTCATCATTACTTACGGTATTCTGACCTCTAGCTGTTTCTCTTTTGTTTCTTTTTTGAGTCACTGTCCTATAATAAACTTTGACCTTTTCGAAAAGCTAAGGATTGTCTACCCAAGGAATAGATTCCTTAACTTTATAATTTATTTGGCCTTCTAACTTTTTTCATTCGAGTGTCACTGATGCTTTTTTGTATAATGGCGTCTGGCGAACATCATTCTAATTTTGGTATCTTTTTATATCTACATACCTTTTTTATATAAATTGGTTATTTTGAGGGTATGTACAGGTATTCATAAAATATCGGAATTAAGATATTCTTCGGCAAAACCAAGTTTCCCTGTAGAATATTTGAATTGATTTAAGTAAAATCAAGAAATCCTTAAAATTTGAGATGTTTTATTAGACCAAAAAAGTCTCTTTATAAGATGTCCCAGTCAGTTGCATGCCACAGGTTTCATTGCACACGGAAATTGGACTTTAGTTTTATCTATACAATTAACATCTTCCATGAGTACAGACAGCTTCAATAACGAGTTGAGAAGATGAAGGGCCATGCAGGAAGCAAAATATAAAGATATGATAGATAAAATAAATGCATGCAGAATTCCAGATAAAAAAGCAAACAGAGTGCATAAATTTATATTGCGATTGGTTTGTGCAATTTGCATAAGTCATCTGGTTTGTAGAAATTGGGATTTGCAAAAGGGTTATCATCGGGAAAATTATGTACATTCCCAAGTACTAAATAAAATAGTCTAGCTTTAAAATGTACATTCAAATAGTAGATGTAAATATACACTTTCAACTGACTTCTTCTAATTACAGTCAATTATTTCAATTCAAAAGCAAACACAAATTCAGCAACAATCTTTTGGTGACCCGGCAGTCAGCGGTCTTAGGTTCACGTGTTGCTTTTCTTTTTTAAAGAAAGCTACTTTTTTTTAGGTAGTCCAACGATGGTCGACTACGTAGGCCATAAATCTACCTTAGTTACTTCTTACATTTCGATTCATGTTTTAATTAATGACGTCAAAATGAAGTTATGGTGAGGACTAATTTGTCGAAAAAAGATTATTTTTATTTCTTTTCATTATCAATATTGCAGTAGACCATGCATGTGTAGTGTCAGTCATAACAACATCTATATGAACAAATATAACCAGTGAAACATTTGAATGAGCAAAATTTCCATTGCTCTTATTTCCCCCTTTTTTCATATTAACTACAGTTAACTCAAGCATCAACATCAAACAGCCAACGGCCGAGTGTATATCAAATCATATTTTCTTGCACTTGTGAAAAAAAACGGAGCATGTATAAGGGCAAGTAATAAATTGTTTGTTGTTTTACGACCTTTTTGAACATTATTTATTATTACAAGTGATGATCATTTATCTTTTATGAATTTTAGGTCAAAACATAAACTGGTAATTTTGTTCACTATTGTAAATCCGGTTGCTGGGTTCCTGCTATGGTACTTAAGACGTCGACTATTGCGAAAATGCTCAAATAGAACTGAATTATTGAGAGTAGAGAGACAAATGTCAACTTTAAGCTTTTTCGGAACGATAACTACATTTTTTATGGTGACTCTGATGTGTCTCTGCCTGGCTATATCTGTAAGAACAGATCACAAAAGGCGCGTACAACATCAACAGCAGCCATCATTTACTCCAAACGAAATGCTGAATCAGATTTATAGATCACAATTAGATAATTTAGATGCTCCAAATTTAAGCAGTAAAATCGAAAATGCTCCACGGGAATCGGAAGCCGATGGTGAAGTACATCATATATTAAAAGGAAAGACATGCGGAATTAATATTACTAGTGTGTTAGACCGTTGGTGTGAATTCAGACACAACACATCTACCTTTTCGATTCCATAGACCTGATTTGTTTCTAATTGATTGTAACAATAAAGGTATTTTATGGGAGTAAGTATTTTGTCTAGCCATAACGATAAGTGTATATATGTTTTATCTGTGATGACTTCTTTTTCCAGATGAAGACTTTCTTTTTCTTAAGTAGAAAAGCATATTGGTATGCAAAAGGGGTAATGATCTTATGAACATCATGACTTCGAAAAAAAACACCAACATTTGTAGGAACTCGGTCAAAATGCGCTATTCTTATCAGGTAGGTGGCTAATAGCAATATTTTGTTCAGTTCTTTTGTCGATATCGTAAACTTGTATATCAAAGATGGTTCACTTATAAAGCTGAGACATTTTCACATGGTTTAGATTTTAGGGGTACCATAAGAGATTAAATTTTCTGCAATTTTACAAACCATTTTGTGATATTGAGAGAGAGCAATCACTTTACCAAATGAATTTATCAGGAAATTCAGTTCTTTGAAACACTTGCTTTTATGTCATTATAAACTCATCCTCTTGCACAGCTGACTTAAATTGCCCAGTTCAGTCAATTCTTTAAAATAGTAACATGTCCAATATCATTGCGGTGAAATAATTTGGACTCAAGTTATAAGAAATAAAGCATGGTCATGTTTCCGCTTTTAGCCATTAGGGATATTGACAGAACTTTGTTTTATTGATTTTGATCGTCCTTTTTAAATTTTCGAAGGTTTCAGCGATGAGCTCATGTCCTACAACACAAAATTCTTCAAATACTAGTAATATACGAAATGACATAATTAAACCACTGACGCGGTTCCTGACACTCCAATTGTTATAAAAAATAAGAAAATGTGGTACGATTGCCAATGAGACAACTCTCCACCAGAGACCAATTGACATAGAAGTTAACATCTATAGGTCACCGTAAAAAGTAAAATAACAAAACTACAGAACTCCAAGGAAAATTCAAAACGGAAAGTCCCTTCTCAAATGGCAAAATCAAAAGCTCAAACACATCAAACGAATGGAAAACAACTGTCATATTCCTGACTTGGTACAGGCATCTCCTTATGAAGAAAATGGTGGACTAAACTTGGTTTTATAGCTAGCTAAACCTCTCACTTGTATGACAGTCGAACGATACTAGGGTAAAATGTTTATGTACCATACTAATAATCGTTTTATATAGATAGCCAAAGGCAGTTATTTGTTGTGGATCTTCACATCTACTGTGATTTTGCGTTTTGTTTTGTTATATTCCCTAATTCTATCAATTCGAAATTCCAGTCAATCTTGCAATCGAGATATCATATTTGACAAAAAATAGCAAATAACTTAATGAAAAATAAAATAACAAAAATACCGAACTCAAAGGAAAATTCAAAACGGAAATTCCTTTATCAAACACATCAAACGAATGGAAAACAACTGTCATATTCCTGATTTGGTACATGCATTTCTTTATGTAGAAAATGGTGGATTAAACCTGGTTTTATATCTAGCTAAACCTGTCACTTGTATGATAGTCGCATAAATTTTCATTATATTGACAACAATGTGTGAACAAAACAAACAGACATAATAGGTAAAAATGTCAAAAATAGGGGTACAGCAGTCAACATTGTGTTATAATCTTAATCACTATAAAAACAAACAAATATGTCAACAAAAGGAAAACAAAATGACATAAATACAAAGCACATAAGCAAGAATGAAAGACAAGAATACAATAAACTACCATTGCACAATAACACAATGACGGGATGTATACTGGCAATCATCATTGGGGTATCTAGTTTTAAAAATGGGTCCGATGACCCCTTCTGCCAACCAAGAAGGCCGACATGGCTAAAAATATCTAACATAGGAGTAATGCAAGTTTTGTCTATTATTTTGACACCCGTAATATATTAAATAGAGGAAATCTGACAGGGGCAAAAATGTTCAGAATGTTGAGCGCTACTAATTGTTCATATAGGTCAAAACTGTTAGACGACTTCTTATAGGAGTTATTGCCCTTAAATGACAAATTTTACCATTGTTTTTTGTTTTTGCCTATGATCTTGAAAACTATAATAGATAAAGAGAAACTTTAAATTGCAAAAGTGATCAGCAAGACAAGTTCTACGAATAAGTTTGCATCGTCGAAATCGTCAGTCGACTCCTTATTCGAGTTATTACCCTTTGATGACGATTTTTACCCATTTTTTTTGCGTTTTTGCCTTATATCTTAAAAATTATAATAGATAGATAGAAACTTAAAAAAGCAAAAATTATCAGCAAGACAAGATCTACAGTTAAGACAAACATAAAGGAAATCGTCTGACGATTCCTTATTGAAGTTATTGCCTTTTACCATTATTTTTTGTGTTTTGCCTTATACGATAAAAATTATAATAGATAAATAGACACTTTAAATCATAAAAATGACCAGCAAGACATGAACTACTAACAAGTCAAATTTTGCCGATATATTTATTAGACAATCACTCTTTATGGGAGTGAGTGCCCTTAGGTGAGGATTTTTTACCCTCTTTTGTGTTTTGAGCAAAAACCAAAGAAGATAGAGAGAAGCTAAACAAACTAAATGATTATTATTGCTTTAAACTATAGTGGGAGAAATTTACCCTAAAGTATAAGACCCAAACAACAACAACAGTACAACCATATAACCTTTATCAACAAGAATATATTAAGACAAGGACACAAATTTGAATGACAGTACTTAAGTTTGTTAGTTTTATAAATAAAGGAACTGTTAAACAAGCTGGATAGTTTTGACTAATATATGATATCTGTATCATCGCTGTAAACATTTTTAGTAATGAAAATACTACGTTCATTGAAATTCATGACTCCAATGTAATCACGCGCATATCGCATCAACTGAGAAACATACACTCACATAAGAAAATTCCAACGGAACATCATTATCATGTAAAGGAAAATTAACAATCGGAAAGGGAAATCCGTCCCGTTTATCATAAATTTTGGTAAGAATATTACCAAGTCAGTGAAATTCAGGTACCAAGGGTTCGAAAGGATTCTGCCTCTATAAGATATAGATTTAGCAAGAATGTGTTCAAGTGGATCAAATTCATTTGAATGTGCAGAAAAAAATGGATTCTTTACAAGGAGTATATCATCTAGTGTAAACATATTTTATTACAGAATTCGTTTTGTATAACTGCAAGAATAAATAAATACGAAATAATTTAATATACAAGTAATTAAAAAATGGGATCTTCTTATAAGTACAAAAAACAAAATTACAAAACTATATTTACATGCTGATAGGCAAAAGGATATGTATCAAACAAAATACATTCATTGAATGCAATAACAGGGGCGTAGCTAGAATAAAATAATGTGCACGCTTTTTATCAATTTTTGGGACCATTTTATGCAGAAAATGATTTTTTTTCGGTTTTTGGTCATAGGAGGGTTAAAAGAGGTGTTACATGTACATAGGATTTATAGACAATTCATAAATGCTAAACTATTCAGAATTCTTCTAAATAGGGTACATCATGGTAAATTGAATACATAAACAACACATTTTTGTAAGACAGAATTTACTCAAAATTGTCCAAAATCTGCTCTTCGTATCCTAACAGAAACGAACTTCTCCATTACTTTGTCAATATTCACAATGAAATCCCGATGAATATGCATTAATGCTAGCGATGAATTGATAACCTATCATTATTCATGGTTGATCGTATACATGTGTATACATGTGTTTTGAACCGACGTAGTACACTCAACGTCCTCTCTGCGGTAGCACTTGTTACCGGCATTGTCAACATAATACTCAAAATAGTATCTCTAGAAGGTTACAGCACTGGGCTTACCGCATCAAGTGTCTCACACAGCGAAGTTGGCATTTGGTCGTGAGTTAGTTCTCTATCAAGCGACCTCTCGATTGAATTTGTCTAAATAAATAAGTACATGCCAGGTCAGTCTCATATGTCTCAAACAATGTTGTGATTTGTGCGTTTGTTATATTCCCTACAACACGAGGAAGCAGATATTTTCTGATGATATCGGACGCGACTCCAGTTCCATTATCTTGTGGTCTATGAACACAAAATATAATGAGACTTTCCAATACTGTTTTGGCGTGTTTGCAGGGTGATTCGCTCTGGTAGTCTTTCGACCACATTGCCTTGGCATATTTTCAACGATATCGAAGGGTTCGGATAAATCTAATGCCTATTGGTACATCTCATTCCAAACAGATTCATCGCTTCGTTCAGCTCGTATCAACTCAATAACAGTTCTACATTCTTTTGTAGCCTCCAACAGATCACATTTGATAACTTGCAAGTATTTAGACAGATACACCGTACTCTGTAAAAGTGCTCCGAAACTACAAGAGCAATAACAAATTCAAATCTTGTAATAGATACAAGTCACTGTCCGTCTTTGTCATCTCCATCATCTCGCAATCGTTCATGATTTATATAAAACTTTTGAAACCAAATGCCGTTATTTAATGACATTTCACCAATTAAAAAAAAGACAACATATATGTGTTTCATTTAAGTTTAAACATTGTATTTATAAATTTTTTGTTTGCCCTTTTTTTTGCATGCCGAATCGATGTGCACGCAACTGCGTGCTGGCGTATAGGGAGCTACGCGCCTTTATAAACTAAAATAAAAATCATTGGATGTTATTATACCTCGCAGTTTAATTGAATAAATGTATTGGCTAATAAAAGATCACGTGGTGTAAATTAATTCGGATATTTTCGTCCAAATCGGCAGGGCCGGTGAATAACCTCGAGAAATTGTACCGTCCGGTCAATAACCCTATATAGTTCACCGCCGGTGAGGCCAAATTGAATGCCAATATGAATTGAAGGCCAAATTGAATGCCAAAAAATCAAATGCCAATCAGCTGAACATTTTAATCACCTACTATTAGAAAAGAGAAATCGAGCTTCTTTATCTTCATATTTTTTCAACAGGTCAAAGTTAATATTATAAACGAGCCAACTCTTTTGAGAACAAGTGTTAGATACCCTCTTAAATCATTTCTTTGCAAGCATGTCCAATTCTTGGTTTTTTT